GGGCGTTGTTTTGTCTTTCTTTCCAGTAAACCTCAGACATGCAGAGAGGGATACCTACTGTTCTACACTGAACACCAGTGCCGGCATATAAGGTTATGCCCTGTCCGCGCTAAACTGACCGCACCTGCCAACGACGCAGGGTTCCGAACAGCAGAGACCATCTCAGTGCACAGAGGCGGTTTCAGTACGTTGTATATTTATCTCTAGGTCAACACCATTTTGGTTTTAACAACTTAATATAATTCACACAATTGCAACTTGATATTATTTCCCCGTATTCTGACATCCCAACATAATAAGGTCAATATTCGAATGAAAGCTCATCTGTGTTGGTAGAATACATAGTTTAAGAGTTTGACTTGTTCCAACACAAAGAAGAAACTCACCATAAATTTTCGGCTGATCCCGTCAACCCGTCAACCTTATGGTGAGTTTCTTCTTTGTGTTGGAACAAGTCAAACTCTTAAACTATAATAAGGTCAAGTTTCACATCCGCAGTCAAGCTGAACGCTGTCGAACTATGCTGAATAACGCAACCCTAGAATGGAACAAACTTCGCTAACCTGTTCTACACTGTTTCTTTCAGCTCTACATGACGACAAACACAGCAGTTACTCAAGAATACAATCGAAAAGTGGAACAAAATACCTGGTGAGTGCCTAACCATCCTTATTTCATCATCATGCAATATTGTACATAACCACGATGGTTAGGCAATGTTCGCATATCTATAGTACTTCTTTCATGAAAAGCTGCGTGTTTTGAAATACGGTACCATATTTACTATGATGTCATTGCCGGGAAAACAGTGTAGCCTGGGTGCCAGGTGCCAGGCCCCTGTGCCACGATACTCAATTCAGTCAGGGAAATCTCACGCCTGGAACACAGAATTTGCAGCCGGGGTCTAATTTATACGTCTAGATAAACTGAAGAAGGAAGCCAGCTCCGAAACTGTGGCGTGTTGGGCAGTATAGAGGCCTGGTCAAGAGTCTCAGAAAGAAGAAGCACTTTCTTTATTCCAAGCAAGGAGTTAAGCTCCTTGTTCTACGTGCTGGGGTCTGGCACGCAGGCTATTCATAATTACCTGGCAGCAAAATCCCATACGGCATGTATACTTCATGATGTCGCAATTTTCATTGCCAGAAAATGTGTTATATATATGTGTCTGCTTCATTGCATTCTGTAAAATTAATCGACTCACATGCTTTGCATACCCTAAATCTTGTTAATTTAAATTAATCAAAGCTGGCCAAAGTTGGCATAGATTCATTTATTCTCTTTTCTCTCTTTATACCCACAGGTAAACTTCGCCATGTCCACCCTGAGATGCAGACTACAGCAGGAGTTCACTGGCTAGCATGAAACCTTAGCACGAAACCTAGTCGTGGAAGGATTGGGGTGTGCATTCATGTTTTGCAGCCAAGAAAATTGAAAAACAAGCATGGAATGCAACAGCATCATGAAAGCGAAGAAAATAATAAATAAAAAAGCAAGACTGACACAAACATACATGATAGAAAACACACAAGTGAATAAAATTCCTTACACAAAACATCACTGTTACACTACATGTGTCACACAGTAAAGTTATAAAAAAAACGACCAGCATCATATAGTTGCAACTAAAAACATATTTGAAGTATTATATGCTTACATATGCTGCTCCTGAGCAAGAAATTTGTGCTCTCTTGATAGAAGAAAACATATTTGAAATATCAATAAAGACAATCATTAATATTCTGTGTGCAAAAAGCCACAGTTTGCCCGAAAAGGTGCTATTGCATGCATGGTAACATAAGCCTTTCCTGCTTGTTCCGATGACCACAAGGCCGGAGGCTATCTGAAAACCAATTCCCTAGGGAATGCATTCATGCAATTTTTGAAATTCTTTCAAAGCGATCGTAGTACTTACACAAATGCCTCCGCCCCTGAGGCGTCGCCAAAAATTCATGAAGTGTAGCTGAAATACCAGTCGGCACGTAATTAACAGATGGTAAAGAAGTGGAAAACACGACCATCTGAGGACCATATGTTGCAATATCATGCTCGACAACATTTTACGTCGCTTTTTTAGAGCCGTCCTGGCATTGGAGACATTTGCTGACACGGTCATACTGACAACAGATACGTACACCGCCGTGCGACCAGGAGTGGCACTGCAGGCAGCTGACATCAGTCCAAAAGAGTTAGACAAGGGGCAAGGTAAGCAAAAACTGGACAGTATATCCAATCATTGTTAGGCCATGTTGATTTGATTATATTGATGACATTTTCTGGGAACCCCGAAGCTAATGCGAGCGAGCGAATAAAAAGTTTGTCAGAAAATTTAAATCATTATATGAAATCTACGTGGTCATAAAGGTTAAACAAATGACGAAACATGCGAATATGGTATGGTGAATAATCTTCATTTTCATTCCTGCTTCACATTTTCTTTTCCTGCATTGATTTCGGCATTCTTCGTCATTAGTATCGTTCCAAAATATTCCAACAAGCATATATTTTGTAGCATTTTGAACGATTTACAGTATGGTGGAAAACGTTTTTCACAAAATTCAGAATACGCGAACGTAGTGCGCGATTGAAAATCAATTGCTCAAAAATTGATGCTTGTGTTGTTTTTGTAATTTCATTTCATTTATCTATTTCGGTGCTAGAGTAACAGTTCCCTTCAGTATCACCCTACCTTCATCGAAGTATTTTGTTTGGCAAGTCATTAGGCTAACGAGAAAATCTGTTACGTTTCTAAGGATTCGCCTTCTTTTCGAGCGGAAACAACTCTACCAGCTTGACAGAAGGCGACGTTACAAGCTTCACTACGGAGGATGGAGGAGACATTCTGCAAACTGCTGACGTCTCTATAGCGTTACCTCCTAACATCTCAAATATGATACAGATCAACAATACATCAGGTAAATTTAGCTCTTTTACAATTTAGGAAAATTGATCTCATTTCTGCTCTATTCGAGTCCATTCTACCAATTTTTTCATCTATGTCAGCTCTCACTCAGCATTAACAGCCGGACTGCCTAGACAGAACGTTGGCAGAGTTTTGCGCTGAGGAAAGAGTTATCTTCACGTTAGAATCTTTGTCCTTGATCTCAGCGATCTCCCTCGGAAGACTGTTCCCAAGTTTAACAGTTGTTGTCACAAGGGTTCTAATATGACTGTTGGTGTTTGAAACAGGGGCCACCAGAGTGTTTTCGTGATGGGATTTTGACTGGCGTGTCACCCGCCGCACCTTTTCGGTTTAGGAACAAGGTCGTTGTCATTGCCAAAAGTACATCGAGAAATACATCCTAGTACAAAGTACAACCTAGTGGACAACACAACTCAAGGATTGACCTGTTAGATATTTGGCATAATAAAAACAGAAAGGACAAGGATGACAATGGTTCCATTGCTGCTTTTTTTGGTAATACAGTAGAAGTTAGAGTGTTCCAGTATCAGCTGTTCTGGACATATTTATTTATTTATTTATTTATTACCCTCCATGAAAATGGGGGTATTGTTTTTACTCCGTTTCATGTTTGGTCTGATATCTGAAGATCGGTGAGAAGGAACTGTACGATATTTGGCAGATTGATGGATGGGGCCTTGGAGATTGTGTAGGTTGACTTTGAGCCCCTGGTGATTGACCTTGGTACTGCAGTTTAATTTTTTTATTCTGTTGTTTGCGCGTTATGGACTGTTTGTGCGATATTAAGGTAGCGTGTAGTTGTTATTACCATGGTTTAGTGGTTTAAATTTGGGCTTCCTAGCTGTTTGCGTTTGATATTTACAATATGTTTAAAGTTGGTCTTTTTGTGTTGAATGTTTGGAAAATCTGGTGGGTCGTTTGGTATAATATTTGGTATGTGGGTAGTTGTTGAGTCTCTTTGCGTTTTAGAGTGCATTAGCAGGTTGTCGTATATTTTTATTGCTTAATTTAAAAGGATTTTCATTTTTTCACCCCTACTTCATAATAGGATGGTCTGTTTGACCCAAAAGTTGGGACAGATCTAGAGTGTTTTTGTTTATATACCTCCAGCTGGCAGGTCAGGCTGAGACAGCCCAATCTATTTTTACCCCTAGACAGAGTCATGCTTGAGAGGTCATTGACCTCACCTCTTCACTATGGTTGGTTGGCTGGTTTTATTATAGGTCTGTTAGTGCTGTTAATGATATTCATGGCCATATAACGTCAAATTACATTTAAACCCATCTGCCTTCTTCTAGCCATTCTTCATCTTCATCTGAACATACCTTCCATATACAATGAATACAGGTGATAACATAAATAAAACCTTACAACACCAACCTCCTCCATGGAGGGAAGATGTCCCTGACTTCTCCTTGTTTATTTATTTATTTATTTATTTATTTATTTATTTATTTATTTATTTATTTATTTATTTATTTATTTATTTATTTATTTATTTATTTATTTATTTATTTATTTATTTATTTATTTATTTATTTATTTATTGTTCATTTTTTCCATCTTATAAACGCCTGGGTGGCCTCTTCAAAAGGAAATGTTGATTTCCAAGAGGGCCCAGGGACACATAAACATAAAGCAATTTGTATTAAAGTAAATCATACAATCAAGAAATATAACTGAGAAAAGTTAACAGAGATCAGTATGACTAAAAATCAGTATAACTGTAAATTTAACAAATGATACAACTTATATAAATGGCTGAACAGAAATATACCGTTCCGAGGTCAAAAGACATGTTATAGACATGTTTGGTGAGAGAAAATCCAAGTAGAGACAAATGAGAGTTTCTCTTGCCTCCCTCTCAGAAGTCCGTCTGAGTTACACGCTCTACAGCAGCAGCAGCCTGTTTGTCCAGACTTCCCAGCGTGCCGCGCGACCTTACCAGCATGCCATGGGAACCCGCATCATCGGCGGAAGAATCGCAGGGATGCCGGTCAAGAACCTGCCCGAACCGGTTATCATCATTTTCACACCAATACAGGTAGCTTTTGTTAGGACACATAGATTAGACTGTATGAATGGCATCCTCTGGAAAACGTTTGGCAAAAAGGTTGCCTTCATTATGAATTCTACATGGTCATGAAGGTTAAGCAAATACCTCCATGAAAAATGGAGGTATTGTTTTTGGCGCGTCTGCGTGTGTGTGTGTGTGTGTGTGTGTGTCCTCACATTTGTAGTCAGCATAAGTTCATAACGCCTTTATGGCTGCTTATGGATTGTAATGATATTTGGTATGCTAGTACATAAGTCTAAGGAAGACGAGAGTCAAGGTCAAATATTTTTGTATCTTTTGTCCTGAACATGCTATGGTCTTGATTTTTTGGTGACAGATAGCTTATCCTGTCAGAAATAAATGGTGTACGTTTGGTCTTCCTAGCAGCTTGTGGTGGAACTGCAGACTAGTTTCTGGTAAAAACTTTTAAAGCCAATAAGTCCAGATTGCAACAACGTATTTTCATCATTTTTGGTAAGTAGGTAGGTGAGAGAAAGTTATACATAATTAAATGCAAATCAAGCAAATGAGGACTTGATTTGCATAATTAATGAGGAAATTCTATAATTACAGTGGTTTATATAATAGTACTGCTATATATGTTATCTTTTTAATCTGTGGCAGGCGGAACATCCACAGATACCAATAATGCAAATGATGACCTAATTTGCATAATGAATGTGAAAATTTTGTGACTCCTTATTGGTGAATGATGGGAATTTTATACCTCGTGACATGTGTAAGTTACTTAAAGGTTAACACCACTATGTATATATTATGTTAATGTAGAGGTCATTTGCATAATTAACGAGGACATGTCATTTACAAAAACCCATATATTTCATGGATGTATGAGATCTAGTTTTTTTGAGTTACGGTTCTCTTTTAGTGTCTTAATTTCTTAGAATTAGGATTAATCTGATTTGTCTGAACTTTCTTTAGAGTTTTCTTCCTGAAGACGTGAAGGAGGTCACATGTGTGTTTTGGGACTTTGAGGCCGAGGCAGGGCAGGGGGCGTGGTCAACTGAGGGGTGTGACAACATGCCGGGTCAAACAAAGGGACGGTACACGTGTGCCTGTAACCACCTTACTAACTTCGCCATGCTCTTTGTAAGTAATCATATAGCTGCTTATTATTATTATCATTATTATGATTATTACTATGATCAGTTATTATGATCAGTGATTATTATGATTATGTGTATTTTTGTTATTATTATGATTATTATTCTGATTATGATCAGTTTTTATTATGGTCAGTTATTATGAGTTGAATTATGATTTTTATTATTCTGATTACTGAAAGGGATGGTTCATTACACTGTATGTATGTTTTGATTTATGAATGAAAAAATCATATAGCTGCTGTTAATGCCATTTCATGCTGCTGTTTAGTAATAATGGTGAACTGCGTAGTATTCAGAAAATCGCAAGAAACCTTTACAGTAGCTATAGGTCTGCGACTTTTATTAACATTACATTTGAAGTTCTGAATACCCAGTGTATACCGAGTACAGAGACGCACCCTTTATAAATTTGCCAAAGGATAATTTTGCTTGATAACCCTTGCCCTCTCTTATAAGTTATACATCTTTGTTACGTAGCACGTTTTAGTGTGACACATATTAAGGATGACATATTTGGATAGCCTCCTGTGCAGGCCCCGCGGCGGTGGGGAAGAGTTTTTAACGCGTTATTTTAATATAGCCGGCCATCCTACATAGCCGCCAAGAGAAGGTTCCATTCCTCCCCGTGATATTTGGACGTTGTGTTCAAGTAAACTATCGTATCACGCCTTGCACCTTTTGAAACAGTTAATATAACATGGAATGATATAAGGCTAATTCTCTTGCACAAATTTATCTGTTGGCTCACTGTGACGTTTTGTGTTGTATATATGTTTGTAGGATGTGTATGGCGTGGGCTTTGGAGACCACGGCAAGCCGCTAGAAGCCATCAGTATTGTGGGCTGTGTCGTCTCCATCATCTGTCTGGTCCTCACTATCATTTTACTAGCTTTCATCGTTACTAGGTAGGTTGCGTCTGACCAACCTGATCTAGAATATAAACCAAATATTATAAATGTAACTTTTCTATGTAAGCTTCTCTCAAATTTTCCTGTTATTCCATTAGAGACAAACGTGGTACCAATGGACCATACAGGCCATGTCAGTCTAAATTCCAGGAAAGACAAACAAAATGCCTCCCTCCCTCCCTCCCTCTCTCTCTCTCTCTCTCTCTCTTTCTCTCTCTCTCTCT